AAAAAAAAAAAAAAAGACACGGAGAGCACAGAAGTGGATCTTGTTACACAGAGTGTACAAATAAGGGTCACAGGCCACCTTGCGAGACTGATGTGTGAACAGCACATCATAAGCCCCGAGGTGAAACCAGCCTCAGTGAGTTCGCAGCCAACTGTGACTCAGCAGTCACACCTGTCTTTTAAGGGCATATCCGTGACACGAGACACTCTGCTCATGACACATCCACAAACAGATCTGTCAACTTCTGGTTCTGAAAACATATGAGCTTGCTAAAAGCTTACGAGCCAGGACTCATACTTACAAAAGCACCTCAACAATTTACCTCTTTGGAGCTCATGCAGGCTGGGGGCACTTTATAGACCAGACGGTGCGATGGGTTGGGCCGGATCCCACCCTGCAGAGGTAAGACCACCTTTCCGGAGCCGGCTTCCGGCAAGGGGTTCCACACAGCCCAGCGGACCATGTGCATGCATGCCACGCTGGACAGAGAGGTGACCGACGTTGCCTGGAAGGGAGACAAAGCACAGCGGTGTGTGAGTTACCAGCAAAGCGGCTGGCAAACACCAGGGAGCAGGGCCCCCAGGCAGGGACCGTGCAAGAGGGGCCTGTGTAGCAGGAGGAGAGCACAACACAGAAGCTCGGGGGACAGGGAAGCAGCCGCCCACTTTGAGGAGCCCCCCTCAAGCTAACCAGCACCCTCCTCCGTCCAGGTCTCCCTTTCTGGCTCAAAGCAGCGGCGGCTTTTCTTTCAAAGACCGACATCATCCTTCTGACCTTTCCTGGTCCCATAAGGCTCTTTCTGCAGGTTTGTAAACAGGCTGTACCTCGCCCACGTCTGCACAAATCCATTAGGAAAACACCAGGAATGACACTTGTGTTCGTGATAGGAAACTTTGTAAGATAATGAGGAACGCACATGGGAATTCAAATCAGGATTATTTACACACAGTTTCTGCAGCTAAGTCCCAGCTCAGAATGAATGGCACGTTTCATCCATGTGACTCCATGTACCTGGGAAATCAGCCAGGTCCTTCTCCTGCTTTTCTCTATCACTGGCCAAGTGAAAGCAGTGAGGACACTAAGGAAAACCTAGGATTAGGGAAGAGTCATTTTCTCCAATGTGGTTCGAGGGCTTGAGTCAGCAGTGTTTCAATGGCACACTTTCATCCATTCACTGAGAAGTAAGAATAAAACCACATTCCAGGCCCCGGGCGGGTGGGAAAACCCCTCATCAGCTGGGCAGTGATGCAAGGCAGAAGGCAAGGTCAGGAACTCCAGCTCTGACCGAGCCCGACAGGCAGACGCAGCAGGCTCCCTGGGAGGCAGCACATCGGGATCCCAGGAAGGCAAATTCTCGACCAGGGGCCACGGGACACTGGCAAGGAGGTCAGACTGGGAGCCCAAGAGGGCCCTTCCGGCCCAAGAGCACAGCGGCCCTAACCAGGGTCACAGTGACACAGTCCAGACCCGGGCCGCAGCCACACCTCCTCTGCCCCGACTCCAGGCCCAGCTGGTGACATGGGAGGAGCAAACCCCGAAGGTGGCGGGCAGTAACTGGAGCATGAGCACAGCACCCCACCTCCTGACGCTGTCCTCAGAGGCAGCAGAGGGCCATCTGCACCCGTCTGGCATGAGGACGGTGAGCCATGTGGTCCCTGGGCAGCCGAGGGAGCCGAGGGCCTCCGACGCTCTAGACCACCAGCCGCACGCGCTAACCCAGGCAGCCCGGTTCGGGCCACGGTGACAGGGAGGGCGGACAGCCTGCGTGGACGGGGCCTCACACTCTCGGAAAGGAACCGAAGCCCACGCCCCATCTGTGATGGTGAAGGACATCGTCCCCAAGGAGAGGAGAGCCAAGGCGCCCGCTGACACGGGCTGCGTCCAGCAGAATGGCTGGGGCTCCCAGCAGACCCCGCCTACTTGCTGGACACGGGTCAGCTGCCACGCCCTTGTCCTGGCCAGGAGTCGACTGTGCTCGGGTCCAAGGTCACACACGCACAAAAGGACTCTGGCTGAAGCCCCACGCGGATGGCTTGACAGTCAGCGAGGCCACACCATAGCCGAGCATAGGTGCAAACAGCACCCAACATGGAAAAGGAAGCACATTCGTCTCCTCAGTCAGTCTCTCCAGACTGTTCCTTTGCCAGAGGCTCTTCCTTCCTGCTGTTTCCCTCAGTCACGTGGGGATAAATGTCCAGAGTCAGCGTCTGGTCTTGAATTAATCTCTTCCTGAGGCCCATCGTTAGGGGACCGACCTCACTTCAGGGGGGCCCGTTCTGACCCTTTAACGGAGCCAAACTTCAGATAACAGCTGGGCTACCACCACCTCTGCCCTGGCTACAGGGGTGACCGGGGATTTGGGTCCCCGCCAGATCAACGAGAAAAACACTCACATCCTGGAAGTACAAGGAACCAGCAAAGCGAGAAGCCGAAGCACATGACCCTGTGCGACACTTCCAACGCGTGTCGAACATGAAGACAATGCCTGCGGCTCCCCATCCCGTTAGCCGATGACAGGGACACAAACCAGCACCAAGCAACTATAAATCCACTGCCCTTTAAAAACAAAATTACCATTGGGGCGCCTGGGTGGCTCAGTCGGTTGGGCGTCCGACTTCAGCTCGGTCATGATCTCACAGTTTGTGAGTTCGAGGCTCTGTGCTGACAGCTCGGAGCCTGGAGTCTGCTTTGGATTCTGGGTCTCCACCTCTCTCTCTGCCCCTCCCCCACTCAACCGTCTCTCTCAGAAATAAACATTAAAAATTTTAAAAATATTTTTAAAAAATGACTATACATGTACCGGCAAAAAAGGCCACTATAAAAACTACACAGACCCAATCATTTCTAGACTACTTTTCTAAACAGTCATCTATAAAATCCAGTTTATTATGGGATCAAAAATAAAATGAAATATGTGTCCAACTTTTCATGCTCTCTGTGCAAGTCCTTGTGGTTTAATCTTTCAAATTAGGTGATTCTGATATGCAATCTTCCAATTTCATGGTTCCTTTGGTTTCCCAGTCCTCGATCAATAGAGCTCTCCTCTGCACAGCGTATCCAGCTTCCCTCGCTCATGTCTCCAACAGCTCCGACGAGAGGAGACAGTTAGCAAGTCACTGATCGCTCCTTTGCAAAGATTTCTGCGACAATTAGGGCTCGATGGCAATTCAATTGCCATTTATTAGCCTGTGCTCCCTCTCACCAGGCCAGGGTGACAGCTGCAGGCAGGAACCTCCCCCACCCCACGCCCCTCAAATCCCCCCAGCCCCAGCCCCAGCCCCAGCCCCAGGCTCTGAGGAGAAGGTCAGGTGCATCCAAGCAGGTGGGCAGAGTGAGAGCAGCTATTTAGCTGGCCAACATGACAAGGCTCCTCCTGTCGGTGAATTCTAGTGGTCGAGAGAAGATTGGTTACTGTAGAACGTCTTATCCTCTCCAATCAGGTTTGACTTCATGAAAAGAAGAAAAAAAAATACATCACATTGCTCCCACTAAGACTTTTAATTGTAACAGCAAACAACATACGGGAGGCCAAAGGAACACACTTGGAATGTGAGCCAGGTTTGTCGTGGAACAGAAGAGCCACGCCAACATTCACCAGGCAAAGCCCAAACAGACAGAAAACAGACACCTGACTCCAGGAATGCCGCACCCTGGGCTCCCTGAGGTGGGCTCGACGGTGGCCTCAAAAACACATGTTCAGGGGCGCCTGGGTGGCGCAGTCGGTTAAGCGTCCGACTTCAGCCAGGTCACGATCTCACGGTCTGTGAGTTCGAGCCCCGCGTCGGGCTCTGGGCTGATGGCTCAGAGCCTGGAGCCTGTTTCCGATTCTGTGTCTCCCTCTCTCTCTGCCCCTCCCCTGTTCATGCTCTGTCTCTCTCTGTCCCAAAAATAAATAAACGTTGAAAAAAAAAAATTTAAAAAAAAAAAAAAAACACACGTTCACATCCTAAGCCTTGAGTGTTGTGACTGTGACCTTATTTGGAAAAAGGGTCCATGCCCATGGAATTAATTATTATGAGATCAGGAGATCTGGATTATCCAGCTGGACCCTAAATCCAATGACAAGCATCCTTACAAAGCAGGACAGACAGAGAGACAGAGGGGGACGCGCAGAGGGAAGGCTGTGTGCAGGTGAAGGCAGGAGCTGCGCCATCAGATAAGGGCCACCAGCAGCCACCAACCCGGAAGAGGCGGGAAGGACCCTCCCCCGCAGCCTCCGAAGGGAAGGCCGCCGCCCTGCCTGCACTGGCTTCGGCCCAGGGCAACTGACTTTAAATCCGAGGCCTCCAGACCGTGAGAGAATAAATGTCAATCACTTTGAGACACACACAGTTGGTGGCAATTTGGGCCGGACGCCCCAGGAAATGAGCAAAGTCCCCTTGGCTTCCATCCTCAGACCAACTTGAAAGTCATCTAGACGCAGGTAAAAAGTTCACGTCATTTCATGAGGGTGATTTTCTCCAGCATTTCGGGGAGACCTTTCTCTTCCTGCTCCAGGCTCCTGGCCAGCACCAGACTCAGGGCCTGGCCACACCATAGAGGTGACAGCAGCGCCTGTCGGGGGACATGCTTGGGTGAACCGGAATGAGGAAACAAATGTGTGTCAAAGTGCCTCCCGGTGTCCCCAGTGTCAGCCACATCACAGAGGGACAAGGAAGCCAGAAGAAACGAGACCAGAGAGACATCACAGCTGAAGGAGGGGCGAGAGGCCGGGCCCTGGGCTGAGAGCAGGTGGGCTGTGCCCCGAGAACGCCCCCCACCAACGCGGGTGGCAGGGACCAGGGAACGGCCTCCAGAGGGGCACACGGGAGCAGCCAGAGCCCGACAAGGAGCAAGGCCGCCTGTAAGTTGCTCTCTTCCTGGCATTCTCCTCGAAGGACGCCAAGTCCTTGATCCCGGAGGCAGACTGCACAAGGCCACCGGAGGTGAGGAATCGGGAGGCAGACAGACACCCAGAGCCTGGGTGACGCCCACCGGGCAAAGCACAGGCTCGCACAACAGGTGTCACCGGCCCGGAGTCGTGCTTCCAAAAACGGATCGTTTAGATGCCAAAGCCCTTTGCAAATCTGACAGACAGTGAGGTGAGCTTGGCAGTGGCTGCAGGCTAATTTCCTTCACACGCATTCACGGTGGAAGAGGAAACCCAACAACACAGAATGAAAGTCACTTAGTCTCCCCTTGTAGGACACAGTATACATCACTTAAAAGCATAGGAATCTTCGGCAGGCAACATATTCATTTCATTCTGTGGAATAAAGGAATCATTTCTGAACATACACATGAGCAGTGAAAATCAACAGGACCGTGGTTTTAAGAAAGTTCCATAACCTGGGACAAGTCTTCATGCTGACTAAAGGGATCATAACACTTTGGACCTCTCTGCAAAAAAGGTGTCACTTGACAGTGAAGGAAAGAAGCAAAGGTGAAACGGCCCTAAGCCCAGAGCTGTGCCTGGACCCTCTGGACACCAAGTCCCCAGCCAGCCGCCTTTGCACGTGCGTCTGC